TCGTAGTGTTCATAGAATATTAAAATGCGAATATGAAAGCATTTATTGGATGTAATATAATATTTATTACATTCAGCAACATAATACGAGCAAGCAGCAATTTGAATTTTCTCGTAATATTCTTCTACGAAATGAATGAATAAATACTGTTTTAATAATACGCTACAAACTACTGATAGTTTATTAGATTTTTATGAAAGATTCGTTTTTCAATAAATTTTGATATAATATTGCCATTTTATGATATCCTTTTTGTTGTATTTGCAATATTTTATTGTGTCGCAAAAATATTGGTTTCCACAATATTAATCTTTTGTCCAAGTTTACTTTGTAGTATAGGCTTTTTGTTTGAAGTTTTTATAAATTTTACACATAAAACACACAAAACTAACAATTTCGTTAACTAAGTAAAATTAGTACATAAAATATTAAAAATGGAGTTAAAAGCAAAAATATAAGAACCTTAAATTATGCAATCTAATCATTTTTCATTCTATCACCTTATAATAATGATTTCTATTTCTTCATACGGGAAGACTTCTCGTATAGTAAAACTCTCAGAATCGAAAAAAAGCTTGTGTGTGTTTAGGGTAAGGGTACACAAAGTTCCAATTTGACTTTGAGCAATTATATTAACATATATCAAACAAACTATCTGATTATATTCAGTAAAAATCGCAGCTAATTAATTATTCTAGAAATGTGTTTTTTTTTTGCTGTTTATCAAAAATTTGTAACCTAGTCCTTTTTACCCCACAGGCGGGATAAATTAGGACTGACAGGGGGCTAATAGGTTCAATGACTGATTTTAAATTTTAAATGGATTTTACAAAATAATACCAACATTTTTCAACCAGTACAAAATATAAATTTCATGGATGCATTTTTTACAGAAATAACATGACTGTAAATATCCTTGATCTGGTATGTCGTCAGAAATATTTATTAGCAGAGTTGGAATACCTATTTATTTATAATTTATTATATTTTTATTTATATATATATTAAATTTTGAATATCTATTTTTTAAATAAAATAATAGAATTGATAAATAAATACCAAAAAACAGTCACAACTATCTTCCTGTCTTGTACAATATATTTTAAAGCGAATATTAAATCTCATCTATTTTGATATAATGTTCAACGCATTTAATCCGTTGTATTTATAATGCAAATTTGCTAGACACTAGAGCAAATGTATCTGCCAAGGCTTAATGAATTACGAAACTGCAATCATGACATTAACTAATATTTTGGCAAAAATAGTAGTTGTAAAGCAATGTTGGCAGTGGTTTATATTAGACGATTTTTCAAAAGTAAACATAAATATATAACACAGACGAGCTAATAGTACATTATTAAACATTAATTTAAAATATTAAATTTTACAACACATTTTGCTGCTAGTCTTTACGACAGAGATGAAAATTGTATATGTTATTAAAAATAAACGAAATGATATAAAAATTCGGGTTATTTATTGGTTTATTAAGTTTTTAATATACAACAAAAAGCATTAACCATGCTTATAAAATTCGTCAGATTTGACAAGATACAAATATTAAATTATTATTATTATTTATTTATTAAGCAGTTGAAAACATCTTTTTACTTTTGCAATTTGCCTGTAACGAAATCTCGTGACTTTTTTCCGTTGTCTATATTAAACTAAATGCCATTCATTAGTTTTTATTCCATTCAATTTATTATTGCCAAAATCATACATCTGAGTGTACCAGTATTTTTTTACAGTTTCCTATGGTCAAAATGATTAAAATCGCATTCGCTTTTCTAATTAACGTGTATTTGAAAAGGGTAGTAAACACACAGAATCCACAAATTCAAAACCACAACAAAATTAGAGCAATATATATTATGTATGTGCATATATAAAATATAGATGGTATTATATTTATTTTTGCTTTACCTTTGTATAACAACGATATCCGAAATAACACATGTTTTTAGTTCATCACCGCTATGCCATTAATATACCCATTTATTTCGAATAAACAGAAAATAATAACGGTGCACGTGTAGATAAATATTAATTAGACACAGAATATTGTTTAATATGTAGTTTTGAAATAATTTATTTTTGTTTCGATTCTATAATAACTGGTTTAAATATAACTATAAATCAAATTTAACATTTGTAATTATCATACACAATTTAATTATTTATTTTCATTTTTTGCAACTATTTGTATTGCAACTGAAAATTCAGCTGTTATAAATATTTTGAGAAAATTTGACCAAACACCGATAACAAGATATTTTAATATTAATACGTATAGATATTAGACACGAAACACTATATTAAATATTAGGATAAAATTATAACTATATTTATCACATGTAAATTGTGAGTAGAGTAAAGAGAAAATTACATAAAAATCTCGAAAAAAATATTTTATTCGAGAAACAAATCGTTCAATAGCACAATGAATTACAACTATGATTTCACATATTTTTCAAATTATTAGAAAATTTTCCGAATTTTATACGCAGTATATGTCGCGAGTGTCAAATCGGTTGATTTTCGGCAAACGTTCGAGTTTCCTCGAAGCGTCGGGCGCCAACTGACTCGCCGACGCGCTAGCGGGTGTGTTTTCATGCGACGAGGAAAATTCGCCACACGGTTTTCCTTAGGAGCAGACGCGCCTGCGCCACTTCGGAAAATTGCGGGAGTTTGTGCTTTGACGCGCAAACACACACCGTTGCACTGCCTAATGACTGATGTTTATAGTTTAAATTTTTATGAAAACTCGACGGAAATCTCGTTACGGAACATTTATTAATGTAGTGCTGATGGAAGTACATTTTTAGTAAACTACTAACAGTATAAATTTTATATGAAGTAACAAATTTATTATATCATACATACGGACATACATAGATACGACTATACACATATATAAAAGGTGTCTCAGAACTCAACATCAAGCTGAAACGGAGTGATAGTACTGATAATATCTGTCCTGAAAAATTTAGAAAACAAAATTGTCTCACGTTGTTTGAAAATTATACCTTTATAGATGCAACCTAAAGCTTTTGTGTAAGTATGACCAGTTTTTGCTTATTGTGGTTCATTTTTATTACTTTTGTTTATTTAAACTTTGGAACCGTAACTATGAATAACATTTCTGGAATATAGTCCCATGTTTCCAAGAATTAAAGCTTTTTGGTAAACTGTGTTTTTAAATATTCAAAACTGCTCTACTTTGAGAGGCTCTCCTTTAAAAAAGATGTACTTAAGTGTGTTGGCAAGTTATATAATAGTCTTACTTTAAAAAGTCTAACTTGTGATGGAACTCCATTACAAGTTGGACTTTTCAAAATTAGACTATTTGTTAAACTATGAAATTAAAATTTTCGAAATTTCTCTACTTTGAGAGAACCACTTTTAATTAATATACTAAACTCTGTTCCATCAAGTTCCATCAAAAGTTAGAGCATTTAATTTGGACTGCAAACTTGTAGAATATTTGATAGTTACATAATATATAATTTGGAGCCCAAAAATAAATGTTTTGTACCCCAGTTTCAGTGTTTTGTCTTGCATATTAAAGCTGACACCTACAACAAACTTTTGAAATGATTGTGAGTAAAGTATACTAGCAAAAACCATGTTATTTTCAGGTTTTTATTTTTTTTACTCAAAACTTCTTATTATTTAACTCTTTATTAACTATCAAGCATTTTACCATTCTACAACTCTGATTAAATGCGCGAATTTTGGATGGATCTTGTCAAAACACTTTAGTACATGTTTTTTAAAGGCCAGCCTCTCAAATGAAATCAATTTTAAAAATTCTTATAATATAGTGTGTCTTAGTGTAAGGAACAGTAAAAAACTTCAGAAACCAGATATTCTATTTCAAGTTTTGACTTAAAATAATGTCATGTATATATTCTAAATATGCGAATCATAAATACTCGTATATGAAAATGCGTTGTGATTAAAATATTTGAATAATTTTACAAAATGTGATATCATACAAAATAGCATAACTTTTATTTCAACTGCTATAACAAAAAATTCTAAAATTAATTTTGAAATATATATATATATATATATATATATATATATATAAATTGTAAAAAAATCAGCCCAAATAAGTATTGATCTAATATGAAACAGAGTATTTTTTATCATAGCAACCGGTAGAACTAAAGATACAATTGTAGTGTCAAGTCTTGTAGTGTGATATTTCCGAGTTCTAAACAGTGAATTTAAAAACACTTAGTACTTGGAAATATTTTTTGGACATTTAGTTTTTTTTTTAATCTTACCGTATGGCTTGCTTGAAAGGCAGCCCTGTAGTTGCTATCCTTGTTGCGACATCTACACTTAACAATATTTTTGACTTCATATTTAAATTCATCAATGCCCACAAAAGGCGATTTTCACTTGAGAATATATGTGAGATCCATAACCTCAAGTGGAAATTTAATATCATACATTAATCGATCGTGGAAGCTAGGGATTTCTGGCCTTAGTTCGGTACCTTTGCTCCACGATGGGCTCACTTGGTAATGTAAATTATTAATATATTTGTTAATGAATATAAACGTACTTGCCTATTGAAATTATCTCACTCTAATCACGAACGCTTTTGGCAAAGCATCAAATTCTATTTAAGTATGTTAGAAAACTATCATCTACAACATATCTGTGACATCTATAATCAACTAAAATTATGTATAAAATGACGTATTATCACAACATTGATATATATTGATATATTGATATATAAACGGCAATTGTTTTTCTAATTGCATATTAGAACAATCTTCACCGTGGCTACAACTTGGATTGTCTCATGTTTCTTATGTTCCAACAAACAGTACTAACTACTCTTATATTTTAGCATTGAGTAATCATTTTTCTTCCACTTTACTAATACTACCTAATACTACTTTATTCAATAAAACCACAAATAAAAATACACACATTTTTCAACTAATTGACAATATATTTATTGCTCTTATTTTTTACAATATAACGTTTACAGTGTCTCTCTGTAAAGGCATATAGTAATTCGACATTAAATGCAACAATGCTTATTATCAATCCGGCAGCAAGTAAATAGAAAGCAGTTTGCAAATGAAATAAAGATAAATAGCCATTTTCTTCTTCTTCTTCTTTAACAGTTTTTTTTAATTTGACGTCATTAGAATTGAATATTTCAGCAATTGATTTCCAATGCTCAATAATTCCAGAAAAATAGAGGCGCTTTATAATGTCATTCACTTTCGCTGCGTAGATTGTTCCTCTGCCTTTGGTTACGCTATACGAAACTTGATTGGGAAATGGACATTCGGACATCAGAGAAAACGTTCTTCTGCCGTGCTTGTAACTCTCTTTGCTTTGTAGAAAATGCAAAGCTCTTTCCTTTGACATCAGAACCGGTTTCCGCATATAAGCAATAGTTCTATATATAATAGATCTAGGAAATTTGCCCGTCCTATTACTAGGAAAATGTTTAACAACATCGAAAAAATTTATGCCTACAAATCTATCTTTAAAATTCTCGTTTCCATAGTTACTCTGCACCAATTCAACTTCTTCTTCGGTTCCATAAATTTTCCAGTTGGTACTTTCCAACTCTTGTAGTGTATTAATATCTGGATAATATTTTTTTTCAATAAGAGTGCTCGTCAATTCACTAATAAAAAAACTAGTAATCAAGACCCCAAATAAACACCAAGAACAAACTAACAGTCTCTCAGCACTTTTATGTGGAAGATGGCCCCAAGGACCTGCTAAGGTAGAGCGTATAATATAAACTATGACTGATCGCATGTTTCTGTTTTCAATGTATTTATTGAGATAAAAATAGGCTACAGTACCGACCACCATTGTTAATAACAAAGAACACCATACAGAGATTTCAAAAACCATAAACATATATAAAACTTGCGGAATAGCTTCTCCTCGTGGTACCACAACACATATGTCGTCTTGCTCGTGTGGATATAAACCTTCTAATAATTTTTCTTTAATGACGCTCCCAGGCTCAAAAACTACATCAACTTTACTTAAATCGTAATTATCCGCAACTTTTATACTACTAGTATTTTTTAAATTTTCTGTTCTACGTGCAACAATACCAGTAGCATTCAGATGTTTAATAACCGTATACACGGTCAAGTCATCCTTTTCCATGAACCTCAAAGAAGGTTTTTTTTTGCTAAGCATATATCCCATAAATCGATTGGCCACTATATACAAAGGATAACCATTCATATTCTGAATCTTCTCGTAAAACAATTCTGCATATTCCGCCTCTAGAGTCATATTAATGTAATAATTATTTTCGAAAGGATTAAATGTTACAACTTCAATTCCAGACGTGTGGGTACTGTAAAACACTACTACCACTCGCAGTAAATACCACCTCCAGATCATCTTGAATAAATTCTCTAACCATTCTGTACCAACTTCTTTAATGGGTTTATAAAATATGATTGCTACGTTAGTTTTGCTTCCAAAATATTGCAGCACATGTATATCAGAAATAACAAATAAAAAGGTATCGGGGTTTATGTCGGCGACCAAAACGATCAGCAAAGCGGTTGTTCCTATGTGTTTTTCACTCGTCACTTCGTGATGGGTCGTATAGACAAACTGTGGAACATCATTTGTCATAATTATTGGTCTGTAACTTCTGAAGGCGTTTTTGATCATAATATCTTTGATAGTATGATGTTTATTACTTTTCTGATCAGTTATCACAGAAATAAAACTACACCGATAACAAAAATTTAGAGTTATATGCTGGGCATATCTAGTTAGCGCACCAATATGGTCTAACTTTTTTTCTATTAACAGTGAGTTTGAATTTGAACATGTAATTAGTACATTACAATACACAAACAAACACAAATTTTTAAACATCGTGCTTTCTTAGATAAAGCTCAAGACAGAATAAAAAACATATGCTACAAATATTATAAATGAAGTGTCGACTTATTATGATGTTTTCTATAAAGAAAATTAATTTAATACATCAAAAAGCAATAAGACGCTAAAAGGATAATGTAATAAAATGTTTCCCGGAATTATAAATACATCACGAAATACATTACGGTATGAACGATAACAATGCGATTGATGAACACAAATATTGACAAATTACAATATTTGATGATATTAAGTAATGTAAGGCGGCATTACGAAGACATTAATCTATGTACAAAGTAAATTAATTAACATTTATTTATACTGAATACACGTCATCGGAATAGAATTATTGAATTGCGTCGTTGGTTTGGTATATTGCTATTAAGTTATATATCAAATTTATAACCCATGAAAAATAAAATAGATACATTAAATGTATATTATATATATATATATATATATATATATATATATATATATATATATATATATATATATATATATATATCTAATAATAATAATAATAATAATATTTTTATTATCAGAATATAAATATAGTACATTTATATCTAAACTCTATAATTCCCATGTGAATTTTGCATCTTCAGCTGTTGCAGAATTATTATCAATAAATTGTGCATATTTATGAGCAAATTGCTTATTTAGTGCAAATTATTATTTGATACATAATTCACATAGATCAAAAATTGCTGCTTCATTAATAGTAAAAAAATGTAGTAAATAATTGATAAATTATTGTTTTCCCTATCACAAAAAAGTTATGCATAAAAACGCAGTAAGATGCATTACAATCCTACAAACGTTTCATAGACTGTAGTTTTGATTAATTGTAAATATTCCTGATAATATATTCTTTCAACAAATGTTATGATAAAACCTAATTTTAATCAATGGGCCAATTATGCCGTAAAATAGATCAATGTTATGGCAAGACTATGTTACTCTGCGTTTTCATATAAAATGGTACTAAATGGTCAGACGTGTTATACACTGACGTCTTATACACTGCTCATGACTAAATGGTGTCTATATATTTTAGTGATTTAATTTTAAATTATTACACTTATGATGGAACAAGCTGAGTCTCAAAATGTTTGTAAAATTTAAAATACTTAATAAATAGTGCAATTGTTATCTCATATTTCAAAGATAAACACACACATATAATTATATATATACATGTATGTGTATCTATTAACAAAATACAATAAATACGTTTCGAGTCACAGTTTGACTCTTCCTTAGTAGATTGAAAACATTTTATTTGAGAAATACAAGAAACACACTCAATAAACAAAAGACTTCATTTATAGTTATATTTGCAAAAAGGAATAAAGGTAATTAATTCGGTGTGTACTGAGCAATCGCTATGGTATATAATTTGAAAAATTAAGTTAAAAATAATTCATTAACGGCCACCATTCTAACCAATATTCGAGATCGAAACGAGTTGATCAACATCATTGATCTCGAACATTTGGTCCGAATAGTAACCGTTTATATCAATTTGTATTTTGAAATTAATCAAATAATAATGCTTAAAGAAAGATTTATATTATCAATTGCTTAGTACACACCTATAGTATTTGATTAAAACATAGCTTATTAAATTTGTTACTGTCATATTCGTGTTACGGCTTACAAAGTTTTGCTTCAATAAAACGAACTTAAAACGTATGTAGTGTGTATGACAGATACGTTTGTAAAATTGTTACAACTTAATGTTGAGTTAGTTCAGGCACTTGTTTAAAATTAAAGTAAAACATATTCATGCGGGTCTGTATATTCATTCATTCAGTTGCTTTATATTGTTAGTGAACATTAACTTTTGCTACGTTGAGACAAGCTGAGCAAATACGAACCAGCATCACATTTGTGAGTGGTTCTAAATATTACGATTTTTTTTCGTTTCTTTCAAAGAATGAAATTTAAAACTTCATCTTTAGACTTTTGTAATCAAAGGTGCATATCCACTACATTCGTTTAGTTTTATGTCTGTATGTAAATCGTGACGCTCATCATATCTTTAATTAGTAATAAAATCAATGAGATTGGATAGTTTATTTAATAGTTGGAACAGAATGTTTGTCTGTCTATTCCTTAAATAATATTTAGCTATTTTGCTATTAAACTGGCAATGATAGCTGTCAACATATGCAATTATTTATCAACTAGTGGTGGATGGCATCGTGCCTTAAGGCAAATTGCTGGAACATCCCATACTTTAATACAAGATTTAAAGCATTTTGAAAACTCTGAAAAATTTAGATTTATGAGAATTTTAAAATTTTTGAAAAAATTGATTTATTTGAAATTATGTTTTTTTTTCATTTTGTAAATGCTTGAACATCTTGGTAAAGACAAAATATTGAAGCGCGCAGGCGCCGCGACGCAGACTAATGTAAACAAAATTTGACCTTAATAAAAATATCTGATAATTTGATGTGCGTATGTCTAATATGCATTTTTGACCTCACGGCATTTTTTTTACTTTGTTTTTACTTTTTCTATTAAATCTCCGAAACCGCTAAACCCGCCTTCCCAACAATTTAATCGAATCCTCATTTTGTCAAATAAAATATTTTATGAATATAAAATATCAAATAAAATATTTTATGAATAGAAATAAAATATTTTATGAATCATTCAAATCGGGCGCTCCGTTATCTTTAAAACGGAATTACCATTTTTGACACTTTTTGCCCCGTATCTTCAAAACCTGCCTTTGCCAAAGACTAATTAGTACATCTCCTTAAAATCGGTTGTTCCGCATTCTCAAAATCGTCGACGAAAATTTGTATCCGAACACACGCACACACACATACCTAAATTTTTTGTAAGATATATACAAATTTTCATTAACATTTTTTTGCAATTATTATAACTTATCCTACAAAAAGTTGATGAAAAAAATGAAAATAATACTAATTAGATACAGTAATTATACGGAGAAATGTTGTCAGTGTTTTAATGCAAGATTAGCGTATTTCCTAATAAAAAATAAATAAATAAATAAATTTCTTTAAAAAAATTGTGACCAAAAGGTTGGTAAGGTTACAGTGATGTAAAAAAAACTTCAAGTAGATAGAAATGCGATGATAAATACAACAAATTAAATGTTCCTGCCAAACGGCCCGTTAGCTTGAAACCAACAAAATTATAAAACCTTGATTAGACAGAAAAAAACTAAACATGAAATCCTGCGCGTACCTGTCACTGCCACCTGTGCACACGCACTAGAACAGTTTTTACCTTTTAAAATCCAAAAAAATATTTTCTACTGCATACATGCAATCGCACAACAAAGGATTTCATTGAAAAGTTCATCCTTGCAAGGTCGCCCAGGTTCCGCATGGTCTGACGGTCACATTGTATTGTTATGGATAGAACATTCCGAGGAATGTTCACAAATGTATGTTCCACAGAAAGCATTGATGAATGGCTTAAAGACGTGACTACTCACAAAAGACCAATAATAGTAATAATAATAAAAGAAAAATGACGTATATGTCGTGCTTCAATTACATACTAGACAATTTTTTAACTTTGTTTCCTTGTAAACGTGGTAAAGATTTTTATGGTAAAATAAGGAATTAAGTGAGATTATTAATCAGCTAATAATATACGTCTATATTATTTATTATTACAGAAATTGTAATAATAAAAGTTATCTCACAGAGATGAGACAACTGTTGGGGTTGCCATCTGTAAAACCGACGTAGTATTAAGTCAGATTTGCCCAACAGAAAAAAAAAGATTTAGCTAGAATCAAATTATTATAGTAACTATGTAATTGCTCACAGTGTTAGATACGACATCATTAATAAAAATGTACATTTTTTAACTTCCCGTAGGGTAAGTTATTGTAATGGGCCGAAAATCGAAATTGAAAATGTTTACATTTCTCGACGTTTTGAAGGTTTCTGAACATTTTGGCATACCTCAGAAAAAATGGATGTGTGTGTGTGTATGTATGTATGGATACAAACTTCCAGTCACGTTTTGGGGCGCACGGATCAACCGATTTGAATGGTTCAAAAAACATTCGATTCCTATCGATAGGGAGAAGAGCTGATTAGTTTTTGGCAAAGGCAGATCCAGCCGTTTCGGGGATACGAAGCAAAGAGTGCAGAAAATAGAAATCGAGTTTTTGAGTGAACGGAGCATCCGATTTGAATGATCTAAAAAACATTCAATAAGTAATGATTGGGAAAAGTGGTTATTAGTTTTTGGCAAAGGCAGGCCTAGCCATTTCGGAGATACAGAGCTAAATGTGCAAAAAATTGCAGTTTTTAAGATAACTAAGCGTCCGATTTAAATGATTCAAACAACTTTTAGTTTGTTTTAATAAAATAATTGATTTTGGAAAAAAATTGTATCTTTTTTTTTGTATATCGAAAATAATTCAGATTTTATTTTTAATTCTGACTAAAGTTGAAATATACTTTGAACAAATAATTTTAACTTTGCAATTCAGTTTATATAATTCTTATAAATATTAGACCATCTTACAATATTTATAATAATCTATTTGAAAACATTCAGTATTCCTCCAACATTTCGTTACGGTACGGGAAGTTCGAGCAATTTGCCTTAAGGCACGATGCCATACATCCCACTAATTATGTATTCGTTTACACATTTTACTCCTGTAATAATATTAGATTATATAGTCAAGTTTTCATTTACATGCAAACAAAGGATCAGCAATTTAAAACTCATAT